TATATATATATATATATAGGTGTTTGTGTGCGAGTGTGTGTGCAAATATATTATCTTTACGGCTAAGTGGCAAGTCTATTCCTACACGGCTAAGTGGCAAGTACATTCCTACACCAATTCAATAGTAAGCTATTCTAGTACTGTCATTATTATTTAATGCTTGTGGGAGGTCATACACGCCTGCTGTTTATACGGGCATGGTCTGTATAGCCGGTGTCAGCAATCATCCGATTGGCTCAATGATTAAAAAATAAATAGCACCAACCATTTGTTCATGGCATATACTCTGAATCCGTGTAGTCTATCGCAACAATTGCTCAAACCATTTCACTGTGAATTCTGCTGAATATAAAGCTATTCTTTTCTTATACCTATCACACCACCTATCTCATCATGTCGTCTATCGCCTACCATTCAACAGTGAAGTATGTCGACCCAGAGTTGGGCGTGGCCATAGTCCGCTGCGGCCGTCCGCAGTTTCTGCTGGTGTCTACCGCCATGACTACTATCATCTCCTTGCAGAAGACTCCCATCACTTTAAGGGTCTGCCACGTGTCAGGTGCGCTGAGAATGTGTGGGGCTCTCATTCGTGGTTGTTTTATTCTCTAGTTATGAACAGTGCAGTATGTAGGTGTATAGCATGCTACTATCATCTCCTTGTAGAAGACTCCCATCTCCTTAAGGGTCTGCCACGTGTCAGGTGCGCTGAGAGTGTGTGGGCACTCATTCGTGGTTGTTGTATTCTCTAGTTATGAACAGTGCAGTATGTAGGTGTATACCATGCCCTTTGGAGCATACCTCCGCCCAATGCCTTGTCCGTATGCTGTGATACTCATAGGTGCACAGTTCGAGAGATCGGGATGCGAACCCTGCTTGTTGTTTGCACACATCACATTCCACCAGTCCTGGCTCGTATTCGTTCGTGTCTTGGCCACTTCAGACAGGGTGATACGTTTACATGCAGAACGTTTTCTGTACATAGGCTCAGCACACCTATACTCGTCTGCAACGACCCATGTCGCTGGCTTTCAAAGCGTTAATACTGCTATATCATATTGATTCTCGTCCTCTTGTTGGTTTGTACCATCACAGCCCGCACCACCGGCGTGATCGATGCGTTAACTCAGCGCGTGCGGCTAGACGAAGCCACAGGTATGCGCTTTAGACCACTGATTGTCAGTGTCAGGGCTAAACCATGACATTTTTCTGTGGCAGATTACCGGTGTGTGCCAGTGTTCAAGACTAAAAACAGGTCACTTTCCAAGCCTCTCAAGTGCTGCAAAACATCGCATGTATCAGTGTCCAATCACCGACTGATTCGACAGCCGATATATGAGTGCATATCAGTTGCACAAGGTCGCCTGTGGCTGTATCAGAACATGTCAGTTGCACAAAGTCGCCTGTGGCTGTATCAGAACATGTCAGTTGCACAAGGTCGCCTGTGGCTGTATCAGAATCAATAGACTGGGCATGTGTGCCAGTGTTATCCACTGCACGAGTCGGTGTCCAAGCTAACGGCTGTGACAGCTTTGAAATATCGCATGGAATGTTCCGGCAATCACATATCTAGGTTAGGGAGTGTGTATATGTCAGTATCAACCGTATGCCTGCATTTGTGCCAGATGGAGAATAGCATGTGTGTGTCTGTGCCAGAACACCGCCTTGCATCGTCTTCTACACGCCCGTCCACTACTGTCGCGTTCGAAGTGTACATATATAGAAAGGAGGTACGCCCTGATTAGCTTCACAACTGGCCTTTTCAGTGTGTGCCTATGTAGATATATGGTCTACGCTGATTAGCTTCACAGTTGGCCGTCTGGTGTGTGCATACGTAGAACGTAGCCAGCTGGGGCTGTGATTTCAGCGTGCGTACCCAAAATTATCGTAGGTGCAGCTTGCAGCTTAATTCGCACCGTATAAATTGAATCTGCCTATTTGCAGGTGAGGCAAACCAGAAAGTGCTCAGCAAAGTTGAGATGGATATGGGGAACATAGGTTTCTAGTATCTTAATCGGGAATAGACGCCGTGAAAGAAAAAAACTAAAACTTAGGGCGCCAGCATCAATATCAGCATCAACACCGGCACCTAACAAAGGTGTACAGGTGTACGTATACGGTCTGCTTGTGCATAGTATGATACCCGTGCGCGGGTGGTGTGTTCAGTTCCACCGCTGTTGACGTTCTCCTGTTAAGAGGTGCAGTGGATCGGAAGCGGTTGGCGTCTGTTCAAGGCCTCCACGTGCACCTCATATCTCTCTCACACAGTAGACATATCAATCACACACAGTGGACATATCAATCACATGCAGTGGACATGTCAATCACATGCCGTAGATGAGGCCAAGCACGCGCTGAGTGCAGCATACTCGAAGACTTCAATTGACACCTGATACCTGCGACAATAAGACTGATATCCAACGCTTAACCAGCCCACGTGTCCCTTATTGTTTTATTGACCTGTTGCATCGCATTGATTGGCACACACTCTACCTGTGGCCCTACGGTTGGAATCCACCCAATCACTCACCCATACACGGATATACAACTGAGACTTCCGATGGGCACCTTTGGATACTATGGTACAGTATGAGTAGGGTTATAGAACTGAGACTTCCGATGGGCACCTATGGATACTATGGTACAGTATGAGTAGGGTTATACACCTGAGACTTCCGATGGGCACCTTTGGGTACTATGGTACAGTATGAGTAGGGACTACAATGCTGTGACAGCCATTTGCGTAGAGAAGAAGTTTATTACCTGTGGCGGCGATACAATTACACAACACGGCCTGGCTACATCAGGCTATGCCATTGCACAGGGCCCCAAAAGCGGACAAGGGTTATCTCTTGCTTCTTTAAAAGGGCAAGGACCAAGTGACATCAGGCTATGCCATTGCACAGGGGCCCAAAAGCGGACAAGGGATATCTTTTTCTTCATTAAAAGGGCAAGGACCAAGTGACATCAGGCTATGCCATTGCACAGGGGCCCAAAAGCGGACAAGGGATATCTTTTTCTTCATTAAAAGGCTTGTTCCTGGATGCAAGGACCAAGAAAGCTGAAGCCACTTTTACAAGCACGTGCAATGGGATTGAAGTGTGCATTTCGCATGTCCGTGGATTACGCCTTCTACCTGTTCCTCTGCCATACATAAATAAAGATGCTCTGGTACATAAAGGTCCGAAATATGTTCTGGTGCATATGGGTCCAAAGCCAGGCCAATCAGGGTGTATACTACATACGTGGTGGTGTCCGTGGTCAAATGATAGTTAGTGTTTTATAGCCGACATGTGATTAAGCACACGCACGCACACGCATGTCTAATGGTCTGAACAGATACAAGATATAAATATAATCCTAAAAAACTTAAAGCAGTTCAATTGTATTGAAGTGCAAAAGCGGTAGAGTTTTGTGGTGCAATAGACTTGCTACTGACAGCGTTGTATACATTCAGATGTCACCTGTAACCACAATGTATTGAATGAAAGAGGCCTACCAACCACGAGTATATGCTATACGGATGTGATACCCATACACTGTAGCAGTTGCGAGAGCTTGGCTGTTCAGCTTGCTTCACACAAGCGGTACCACGTATTCATCAAGTACGGATTGATGCTAAGACAAAATATGCCATATTTAAATAATCAATCAGTTACAAACGCATGGTCATGTGATGTACTTTAAAATACCACATTAGCGGTCATCAACTACTGATTGACGCTACATATGCGGATATGATACCTATATCTGAATATTCATGTGGGAAGTCTTTAAATGCGAATCCTAGGTATGCACGAACTATCTTAGTTCAATGGTCGCAGGCTAATGTTGTGTATATATATTTACATATATATATATATATATATATAGTTATGTATATATATATATATGTATCA